TGGAACTGTTTCGTGTCACATGTCTGTTTACATTCCAGCACTGTCTGCTGGAAACTTCCGTATTGTGTATAACTTTTGTTTTTTTACTCTCTCTCTGAGGAGAAGAAAGGGAGACGACATGTTTTCTTTGTCCTGATTTATGCTTAATAAATATTTAGCTGTTCGTATGTTTCCACAAGCCTCGGCGCCTCTTCTGTTTGTGCAGCATGCTCTGCTGATATATCGTGCTCAGGCTTTTAAAGCCTGAGTCGCTGATTTACATTGCACCAGAGATTGGGGTTCGTCAAGGCTGGAAGGGCATGATCCAGCTGGGGGCTATCTAGCTGGTATCTCGACCCCTGAAGGATGCTGACAGAAACAACTAGGAAAATAAAGCAGCAACAAGAGGAAACTTTGGACACATCAAGAATGGAGTGCAGCAAACCATTTTTTGGAGAAATTGTATTGTTGTTGTTTAGTCGTTTAGTCGTGTCCGACTCTTCATGACCCCATGGACCAGAGCATGCCAGGCACTCCTGTCTTCCACTGCCTCCCGCAGTTTGGTCAGACTCATGTTCGTAGCTTTGAGAACACTGTCCAACCATCTCGTCCTCTGTCATCCCCTTCTCCTTGTGCCCTCCATCTTTCCCAGCATCAGGGTCTTTTCCAGGGAGTCTTCTCTTCTCATGAGGTGGCCAAAGTATTCCTGCTCCAGGTGAATCGCGTTTGGTCAAAACTCTCCACTATGACCTGTCCATCTTGGGTGGCCCTGCACGGCATAGCTCATAGCTTCTCTCAGTTATTCAAGCCCCTTCGCCACGGCAAGGCAGTGATCCATGAAGGGGGAAATTGTATTAAATTGTTCCTAATTTGTGGCTGATTTGGTAAAATTTGAAAAATTAATAAAAACGATTTGACAAAAACAAAGTACATGTGGGGGAATACATCTTTGTTACTCTTTCTCTCACCACAATTCTGCCCAAACTTACCTTCTTTTGTCTCATCCAGTGTTGCATCCTATCATGGGCCAGGAATTGGCTTTACCTGCTGAGCAACAGCCTGAAGGGGCAAAAGACAAAGTGACTCCACCTGCTACTGATCAGCCTTCTTGCTCCTAATGAGAACCAGCTGGCTCCAGCTTTCTTAAGCAGGGTTCCAGCCTCAGTCAGTTCCTGGAAACAACGTTCATCATTCCTGTCTTACTTCCCATGACCTTGGACTCTTGGCTTTCTTGACCCGTGGGCCATCTGACTATATTAACTGAGATATTCCTGACCTTAGGACTTGACTGAACCTTGCATATTGACTCTGCCTGAACTGGAGTCTGAGAAGCCTCCTAAAACTATTTCAAGTCAGAACAGAACCTGACCAGTATGTGCATGTCTACACTATTTTTAGATCTATGACTTCACCTAGCTCCTAACTGCTCCTAGCAGTGGGGGAGGGGGGCATTTGTATTTCCTTTTCTTCCATTCATCTCCCATGTAGCAGCGGTGGGCTTTCAGCTTTCCAACCAGGCCTCTGCCATTGCACGGACATGTTTGCGTGAAGGCCCTTCTGAGCTGCCCATACCACCTGCCTGAATCTAAGAGAACAAGGAAGGCCCATTTATTTGACTTGCACCATAACTAGGGGCAAGCCCCCAAACCAGTTAGACAGATGACTTGCCATAGTTTTTAGCTCTCCCATGGGTGATGAACGCAGATGTTGTCAAACCAGCATCTGTTCAGGGCTGCCCCAAGTCGCACAGCAACTGGAAGATGGTGTCAAAAGGGAAGAATTTGGATTTGATATCCCACCTTTCACTCCCCTTCAGGAGTCTCAAAGCGGCTAACATTCTCCTTTCCCTTCCTCCCCCACAACAAACACTCTGTGAGGTGAGTGGGGCTGAGAGACTTCAAAGAAGTGTGACTGGCCCAAGGTCACCCAGCAGCTGCATGTGGAGGAGCGGAGATGCGAACCCGTTTCCCCAAATTACGAGACTACCGCTCTTAACCACTACACCACACTGGCTCCCCAGTGTGGGTAGCAGGGAAGGGAAGTGGGTAGCAGAAATAAGAGAGGAGGAGAGGAAGACTGACAGAGGAGAGAAGGAAAAAGAGGGAGAAAAACAGGGAATTCAGAGAGAGGGAGAGAAGGGGTGGAAGAAAGAGGGAAAAGGCAATGTTTCTGTCCATTTTTGCCTCTGGCCCCAACCACAACTGGTATTCAACCCTCAACTGTTTAAGAGAAAGCAGGCAGTGACAAAACAAAAAGCAAAAAAAAGAGGTTCCTCACAGCCAATCTGTTTAAAAGGCATCAAACATTTATATTTTTTTAGGTGCCCCATTATTTGAATGGATGGTTTTGAAATTCCAAAAGCTTGCTCACCTACCCACCACCAACCCTTTTTGAGAATAGGAACAGCAGCAGCCACTCCAGCATGTGTATTTGCATCCTCCTTACGTGGAACTCCAGAGAAAGTAGAAAACTGACAAGCCCCAAATGATGAAAGCCATGGTAATAGCATTTGATTTGTTAATGATTTTTTAAAAAAGGAAATTGCCCTACAATACCTATGAGGAACTCAAATTTCCTGCACAATGTGTGCTGTTCCAAATCTCTTTGTTCTTTTTTTAAAAAAAATACTCTGGGGGTGGGGAAAGGAATTGATATCTTAAGGTTCTTTTTAGCAAGCGAATGTAGCTGAAAGGTGACATTTAACACATGTTTGATTTGAAAATTGTTTGTAATCCTTGAACATCAAATGCTAGCAAGAGAGAGGGAGATGGAAAATAGGCAGCTGCATTTGCTGTTCAACATTACCTTAGTAATCGCCCAGACATATGAGCTATTGCGAGCTGTATATAGGGTAAAGTGCAATTGCCCTTGCTGAGAGTGCAACATTAGAGCTTCCAGCATTGCATAGCCATTGTGAGGCAGCAGCTCCTGGAAGCATATTTCAGTGACAAAGCAGATGATTTGCAGCATACAGAAGATTTCCCAGGTTCAATACCTTCCTTGCATCTTTACACAAAGGGGCAGGGATGGGGCACCTCAGACCCAAGGGCAAAATGTGACCCACAGGACCTCTCTGTCTGGCCCTCAAAACCCTCCCCAAACCATACCTTTCACTGGCCCTGTTTCACACCTTCTTTGAAGTGGGTGTACAATACAGTCTACTGCACAAAGGTAAAATTTACATTCTTTGTTTCACCCAGTTTTGCCTCTGGTCCCACTCAACACTGGCTATTGGAAGGTTTCCCAGCAGAGAATGTGGCCCTCAGGCTGAAAAGGATTCCCCGCTTTTCCATTGCACCAAGCTGGCTCTAAAGGTTTGACAATAGCATGTGATAAAATCTAGCCACCATTTTTACTCCTTTGAGCACCCCTGAATCTTAAGATGCCCCTTCTCTGCCTTACTGTCTTTGCTCCATCATTAATTCTCACACTTAGGAGCGGAAAGGGCTGCATAAGTTGTGACAACTGAGTTGTGGCATATCCCAGCCCTGTAAGGTTAAGCATCTTGACGCAGAGCATGAAATAAAGAACAGCAAAGAGCAAAAAAATCAATAGTCCTGAGCAGAACTCATTTTCAATATGCGAAAGCAGTTTGTGATTAGCAAGGAGCTCAGCAAAAAAGCCATTATTTCCAGCCTCTGCTCTAAAACTTAAATGTCAGCCCATTGCACGAGGCAGCACAAAAACACTCTCACGAGAGAGAAATGGCAGGTAGACCTTAGAAAGCTGGCTATCTGAGGGGGTTGTCAACATTACGTTTGTGGGTAACAGTCCACCTGCCAGTACCTCCTATGGCACAAGCAAAAGGTCTTATTATATAACCCCTCAAATATCAAAATTACTTGGGGTGGCATATCTACACCATTTTTGGTTCTTTCTAACCTTTTATATATGAGTAAAACAAAATGTGGAGTAAAACAAAATGACAGCCATTTTGTTTTACTCCACAATCCAGGGCAGTCATTTTGTATTGTGGCACATGCAAGACAGCCATATTGTGTTCTTGTTGTTCTTATTATTTGTTTGTTTTATAATTATGTATTGTTACATATACAGTGGTACCTCAGGTTAAGAACGTAATTCGCTCTGGAGGTCTGTTCTTAACCTGAAACTGTTCTTAACCTGAAGCACCACTTTAGCTAATGCTGCTGCTGCACCACTGCTGCACGATTTCTGTTCTCATCCTGAAGCAAAGTTCTTAACCAGAGGTAATATTTCTGGGTTAGTGGAGTCTGTAACCTGAAGCGTATCTAACCTGATGTACCACTATAATTATAAAAACAACCTTAATATGAAGATCACAGGACAGTTTACGACATAAAAATACCAAATGAGACCAATAACTGCCCTCCCTCAAACACATTTAAAAGCCCATAGTTTAGTCAGTCAAAGGCCTGATTACAGAGAAACCACTTTACCTGGCACCTAAAGATATGTAATAAAGGCACCAGGTGGGCCTCCTTGGGGAGAACATTTCATAAATGGGGAGTCACCACTGAAAAGACTCTGTTCTCATGTTGCCACACCTGGACCTCTTGTGGAGGGAGCACACAAAGAAGGGCCTGAGGTGCCACACCCATGGCAGTCATTTAGCCTAGGGCTTGACGATCAGAAGGTTGGCAGTTCGAATCCCCGCGACAGGGTGAGCTCCTGTCGCTCAGTCCCAGCTCCTGCCAACTTAGCAGTTCGAATGAAGTGCAAGTAGATAAATAGGTACCACTCCGGTGGGAAGGTAAACGGCTTTTCCATGCGCTGCTCTGGTTCTCCAGAAGCGGCTTAGTCATGCTGGCCACATGACCCGGAAGCTGTACGCCGGCTCCCTCGGCCAATAAAGCGAGATGAGCGCCGCAACCCCAGAGTCGGCCACGACTGGACCTAATGGTCAGGGGTCCCTTTACCTTTACACATACCTTAGTAGTCATTTTGTGATTGGTGCCCATGGCATTTTCTCTTTTAAAAATAAATAAATAAAATTTTATTAAATTCTACATAATAAATTTAAACTCAAACAAATCATTCACCTCCTCATTTAGGATTCTTTAAATCCCTTGCCTTCCCTCCGCCCTTCCATGGTTACCATTATCAATCTTTCTTTCCATCTGCTTATCTTATTTTCTCTAACTTGTTAAAAGAACAGTAATCCATTTTTCCATAGTTTTTCATACATTACAAGCATTACTCGAATGCTGCCAAAGTTTTCAGTTGTTTACAGTGTTCTCTTTAGTACATTATGAATTTTTCCCATTCCTTCTTAAAATTCTTCTCTTCCTGGTTTCTGATTTTCCCAGTCAATTTCACCATTTCGGCATAGTCCATCATCTTCATCAGCCATTCCTCTCTGGTTGGAACTTTGTCTTCTTTCCATCTCTGGGCCAGTAGTATCCTCACTGCTGTCATCGCGTACATGAATAGTCATTTCTGCTCCCTCAGAATCTCTGTACCTAAAATGCCTAACAAAAAAAGCCTCTGGTTTTTTTCACAAATGTTATTTTAAACATTTTCTTCAACTCATTGTAAATCATTTCCCAGAATGCTTAAGTATTCTGAAGAACGTGCCTTCCTTCTCCCTACATTTCTAGCAAGCATTGCAAGCAGTTCTATACATTTTAGCTAATTTTACAGCTGTTCAATACCACTGTGATACATCATTGTCATGTAGTTTTCCTTCAACGCACAGCACGCTGTAAATTTTAAGTCTTCCCACCATAATTTTCCCCAAGATGAAAATTGGATATTGTGCCCAATATCTTGTGCCCATTTTATCATTAACGATTTAACTTCTTCATTCTTAGTATGCCACTCTAGCAACAATTTATACATTTTAGAAAGTGACTTCACATTATTTTCCAATAATTCCTTTTCAAACCTTGAAATTTCTGTTCTAAATCCATTTTTCTCGTCTATTTTAAACACATCATTTACTTGATGGTATTGCAACCAATCTGTAACTAACTGTCATATCTTCAGAACTTTTCGATTCCAATTGTTGTTGTACTTCTGTGAGCAACTCTTTGTAAGTTGCCCACTTATGTAAGTTGCATGGCACTTTCTCAACATGCCTAATTTACCTGAAGTCCCACATAGCTTGGTGACTCCTATCTTAAATGAGTGAGCTGTGCTCTGTACTTGGAAGTTCAGGAATACATGCACACACACACACACACACACACACACACACACACACACAGCCAAATCAAGTTCAACAACTATCATGTGAATAGATAAATATATGAATATAACTACCTAAGAAATTGTTTAATCCTTCCTTTCCTTTATAAAGATCATTTTTAAAGTCAACAAACCCCAGACACATCGCTTAATTTGCTGTTCTTCCCAGACTGAAATATATCTTTAATTTTGCATCACTCCTAACAACATACATAGTATGGATTGAACATACGTAGAATTGAACACTAATCAAGAAAAAAGACAGTATCGGACAGTATCGGAGAAAACAGCAAACTATAATTAAGATTACTACCTTAAAATCAATAAAATATCAAGATGAAAACAAACACACATACCTATATGTATTTATGTGTGAGTATACGTGCGCGTGCACACACAAACAAACACACACACACACACACACACACACACACACACACACTCATATGTATATGTATGTATGTATGTATGTATGTATGTATATTCCAAACCATGAACTTTGGAACATAGAAAGTTGCCTTATACACCAGCCCACTGGTCCACCTAGCTCTGTACTGTCTACACTGACTGGTAGCAGCCCTCCAGGGCTTCAGACGGGAGACATTTCCAGCCCTGCCTGGAAATGCCAGGGATCACACCTGGGACCTTTTGCATGCAATGCAAGTGTTTCTGCCACTGGCAAAAGAAATGGCTAATTCACACAGCACATTGTTAAACTATAGAATTTGCTCCCACATGAGGCAGTGATGTCCACCAACTAAAGGTAAAGGTAAAGGGGCCCCTGACCATTAGGTCCAGTCGTGACCGACTCTGGGGTTGCAGCTCTCATCTCGCTTTATTGGCCGAGGGAGGCGGCGTACAGCTTCCGGGTCATGTGGCCAGCATGACTAAGCCACTTCTGGCGAACCAGAGCAGCACATGGAAACGCCGTTTACCTTCCCGCCGGAGCGGTACCTATTTATCTACTTGCACTTTGATGTGCTTTCGAACTGTTAGGTTGGCAGGAGCAGGGACCGAGCAATGGGAGCTCACCCCGTTGCGGGGATTCGAACCGCCGACCTTCAGATCGGCAAGTCCTAGGCTCTGTGGATTAACCCACAGCGCCACCCGCATCCCACCAATTAGGGTGCCTTTAAAAGAGGATTAGACAAATGGATGGAGGATATGGTTATTGGTGGCTACTAGCTAGGATGGCTATGCTCTACCTCAATGGTTAGAGGATGTTTGCTTCTGAATAGCAGTTTCTGGAAGCCACAGGAGGGAGAGTGCTGTTGCGCTGAGGTCCTGCTTTTGGGTTTTCTGTAGGCAACTGGATGCTGGACAGGGTGGGCCATTGGCTTGATCCAGCAGGTGCTTCTTCTATTCCTTGTCACCCCAGGACAGCCCATCAATTCCAGGAGTCCTGAGATCAATTTGTGAGCCTCTTGTTCTGCTGCCATGACAACTACAGCACACAAAATTAGCTGTCTCTTCACTAGGAAGAAACCCCCAGCTCAAAAAAACCCCAGTATATCCTCTTGAAGCCTTTTGCACTGATTGCTCTCTCTCTCTCTCTCCCCTTCCTTTTCCCCCTCAAAGCTGGCACATTCCTGAGCCTCTCTGAAACAGTCACTCCAAGCATCCCTGATTGAATGCTGAGTTCTTGACATCTACAAAGAGAATTCACAGTGAGGGGGAAACAAGGCTTCTCCTGGACTCTGAATCAACAGGAAATTCTCTGAGACTGGTGATGTGTTTAGAGCCACCTGGAGTGGACAACTTTTGCCCATGCTGAAATGGTCCCACCTGAAGGGAGAACTGGAAACAAGAGAAGAAACATTGGGGAAGCTCAGGTCCAGGGGCCAAATGCAGACCATCCAGTCCTCTCAGCTGGCTCTCAGAACTCTCCCCAGGCCAAATCTCTTGCCAGACCTGACTTCTACCCTCCTTGAGTGCTTTTGCCTGGCTGGGATGTGCCCTTGAACTCTGATCATGCTTCTTGCCTCGCTGTAGGAAGCAAGTGTGTCTAGAAACCAGCCTGCTGTACAAAAGTGAAATCTACATCTGTCTCTTCACATACTTTAGATTCTGTTCCTACCCACCACTGGCCTGTGGCCTCCTGGAAAGTTTCACAGAAGGGAATATGGCCCTCGGGCTAAATTTTCCCCACCCTGGGTTAGACTAATCCAAGTTTGTTTTCAAAGGACTAATATGCTTTTGAAGGATGAATCATGAAGATTTGGTGCTTCACTTTACAGTTAAATGGCATGGGGCCAGGTTGTTTGTGTGGGAATTAAACTTTAGTTCCCATTTACAGAGTTATGCAAAAGAGAGCTTGGGTTGTTTGACCCTTTAGTTAGTTCCCTTTTACCTCCTTTAAAAACTATGCAAGACATTCTCTGTTTAAAGTTTAAATAACATATAACTTTTACTCAGTGTACTTGCACTTGTTAGATTAAATATACAAGACAGATGTTATTTACATTGCTGATACATCTTACATAAGATTGTCTCTAAGACAAATAGTGTTGCAGGCTGACTAACTGAGGCAGACAGCAGCACAACAGAAAATACAGTGGTGCCTCGCAAGACGAAATTAATTCGTTCCGCAAGTCTCTTCGTCTTGCGAGTTTTTCGTCTTGCGATGCACGGTTTCCCATAGGAATGCATTGAAAATCAATTAATGCGTTCCTAGGGAAACCGCCTTCAGACCAGGTCCGGGGACAGTCTGTCCCCGGACCTCTTCTGAAGGCTGGGGGGAGGCAAGGGCTTTTCTTCCCACCCCCAGCATTTTAAAAACCCGGGACAGCGGAGGACTTCTCCGCTGTCCGGGCGATCTTAAAATGCTGGCGGGCGGCATTTAAAATCACCCGGGACAGCGGAGGACTTCTCCGCTGTCCGGGGCAATTTAAAGCCCCTGGGAGAGGCAGGCAGGGGGACAAAGACTTTGCCCCCGCCAGCCTTCAGAAGAGGTCCTGGACCTCTTCTGAAGGCGGGCGGGGGCAAAGTCTTGCTCCCCGCCTTCAAAAGCCCTCCGGGACAGGCAGGCAGGGGGAGCAAGGACTTTCGCCCCCGCCCGCCTTCAGAAGGTCTTCCCTCCCCCCGCCCGGCCGGAGCACCGTTCCGAAGCCGGGCGGCGGCGGGGGGTCTTCCCTCCCCCGCCCGGCCGGAGCACCGTTCCGAAGCCGGGCGGCGGCGGAGGTGTTCCTCCCCCCGCCCGGCTCGGAGCACCGTTCCGAGGCCGGGCGGCGGGGAGGTCTTCCCTCCCACCGCCCGGCTCGGAGCACCGTTCCGAGGCCGGGCAGAGGCGGAGGTCTTCCCTCCCCCCGCCCGGCCGGGCACCGTTCCGAAGCCGGGCGGCGGCGGCAGGTGTTCCCTCCCCCGCCCGGCCGGAGCACCGTTCCGAAGCCGGGCGGCGGCGGCAGGTGTTCCCTCCCCCCGCCCGGCCGGAGGAGCCTTCCGAAGCCCGGCGGCGGCGGGAGGAGGTGTCCCCGCCCCGCCGCCAGGCTTCGGAGGAGGTCCGAGGACAGTGGGGAAGACGCGCTGCGCTTCCCGCTGTCCCTGAGATTTCCCTATGGGCTGTCGTCTTGCGAAGCAAGCCCATAGGGAAATTCGTTTTGCGAAGCGCCTCCAAAACGGAAAACCCTTTCGTCTAGCGGGTTTTCCGTCTTGCGAGGCGTTCGTCTTGCGGGGTACCACTGTACCTGCTGCTCTCACACAAAAGACTGTTAATAACTGCCACTGCTATACCAACGGACATAACTGCCTCAGAGTTCTATAGCCCTTGCAAGCATTAACCCTTTACCTAACATTTTGAATGCTTTCATCCCACAGTTCAGGGGAATGACTTCAACCATATGTTCCTGCCCAGTCCCTGAGATAAGTTATAGAGGCCTTGTGCATGGGCCCCCCTGGAAGATGAATCAGATTGGCAGGCACAAAAAAAACAGAGCCTGCTCAGTGGTAGCCTCACATAAATGGAACTCTCTTACAAATTATTTATCTATGGTGTCGTCAACACAGGCTTTTAAACAGGCCTTTAAAACACAGTTGTTTTAGGTTGCTTTTTCTTGAAAGATTCATAGAGATGCTTGTCTGCAACTGTTTTAAGCTGTTTTACTTGATGCATAGCTGGCCTGTGAATGGCTTTAGACTGCCGATCCAAATGGTTGGTTTTTTTACAATGTATTTTGTGGAGTGGTTTGCCCTAAAAGGCAGCCTAGAAATATGGACATTAAAAAAAGGCCTCTGGAACAGGCTGCAGAGAGATATAGATATATGTGGATGTAGATATACTTGATGAGAAAACAACAGAACAAACAGTTGAAAAGTTTTTGAGGATATCCAAAGTAGAATAAATTAGAGTCCCAAAGGCAGAGGACATAAGCCACTTCAGATGGGGTTCAACAGTCTCAAGAAGGCAGATGCAAGATGAAGATCTAGTCTATATCCTGTAATGTATTCCTATAAAAAAATTGAAACTTTCCAACATACTGTACAATATAATAAAAAAACTAATCAAACTAAAGTAAAAAACAAAACAACAACAAAGAGAAAGAAAAGAGAAGAGAAGGGGGGTGAGGAGAGAATCCTGTAATATATCCTGTAACGAATTCCATGAGTGGACTCCAGGTTCCCCAAAAGCCAAAATGCTTTGCTTTCCCTTTGCCCAATTTTATATTCTACACTTATGTTTTCTTCAAGTGCAATATGCAAAAATCTGTGGAACCATTGTTCAAAAGTTAAGCTGACCACCAACTTCCAGGTTTTTGCAATTTCTAACCAAGCAGCTACTAACATGAAGGAAACCAATGTTTTATGCATTAATTTATCATTGCACTCCTCCCATACATTAAGTACAGTTATACCTCGGAAGTCAAACAGAATCCATTATGGAAGTCGGTTCTACTTCCGAAATGTTTGACTTCCAAAGCGTGGCTTCTGGTTGGCTGTGAAAGCCCAGCCAGATGTTCGGCTTCCAAAAGAACATTCAAAAACCAGAACACACACTCCCAGTTTCTATCATTCTGGAGCTGAAACATTCGACTCCCAAGGTGTTTGGGAGCTGAGGTACAACTGTATTGCTAATTGTGGAGTAAGAGGAACCATCAGGCTGCAGTTTGCAAACAAGGCTCCACAGAGCCAAAGGTAGTTTATATAGCTGGAAATCAACATGGTCTCCTCTAGATATTGGCCTCCAACTCCCATCAGCACTAGGCGGCATGGCCAGTCATCAGTCATGATGGAAGCTGTGGTCCATCAACATCAGGAAGGCACTATATTGGCTACCTTTGACATAGTCAAAAGTAAGCTATTGTGGGAAAGGCAAATCAAGAAGTAAACAAGACGAGGCACCTGATGAGATGAGGAGTTCAGACTGCAGGAATGACTTGGGTTTATTGAACTTACATCTTGATTTGTTTTCACAAACTCTGTGGGGAAGTTAGCTGATGCCAGCTGATTATTGAGCATTCCTTCTGAGTTTATAGGAAATTGTGTCAAGTAATTGTTATCCTATATGTTCCAGCACATTTCTCTTTAATTTGTGTTTATCGCAAGTCCAGTTTTGGGGAGTCAAGTTTGTTGTGCAACAGCAACGGATAAACTTAAATGTGTAGCCTGAATTTGCCAGTATGTGGCCAAATCTCACTTGAAAAGAGTGATGTTCTGGAAGTGTCCTTGGGTGTCAGTTTTATATTACACAGTGTGCCTCTGTTTGGACTGTAGGGTCAACCAACAAGCATTTGGACTTCAGCATCAACCTAGAAGGTGCTCTTGATCCACAGAGCCAAATCTGCCTGGTTGGCTGAAGTATCAGAGCACTGGTATGTCTGACTGGTGGTTAGAATCCTTGTTTTGAGACATACACACCCCTTGGTGCCTCACAACTAGTTTAAATATTTGTAAACACAGCTGCTCCACACAAAAGGCACATCAGTTGTCTGGGAAGTCAGTTAGCTGGGATCAAACACCAGCTGTAAACCCCAGGGCTGCCATCAGGAGTTGACATAATAGAGCACTTACCAAGCATGGCTAGGGTGGTGGGGCATACCTGAGAGCCTGCTAAGTCAGCTGCTTCTCCTCCTGTTTGCTGTTGGAATCTGCTTGTTTACCCCACACACTCTCTGCCCTAGAGGGGATGAGATGAGCAAGTGAGCAGTAAAGGCAGCAAGGGCAAATAGCAGCATACACCACCTGATAACTCCCCAGCTTTCTTCCTGACAAGCAAGCATTAACATAGCTGCCTTATACTGTGACGGATGTTTGGCCCACCTAGTTCAGTACTGTCTACTCTGATTGGCAGCAGCTCTTTGGGGTTTTGGACAGGAGCTTTTCAAAACATCACAGAAAGACCAGAAGCTGCCTTCTTCTATGTCAGGCCATTGATCCATCTAGCTCAGTGTTGCCTACACAGAGTGGCAGCAGCTCTCTGTGGTTTCAGATGGGGTCCATTCCCAGTCCTGCCTGCTGGTGCTGGGGATTGAACCTGGGGTCTTCTGTATGCAATGGTTTCCCATATGGAAAGGAGAATGGGGTCCACTAAAGGAGAGGTCATCACGCTAAGGTTATCCTCAGATATAGGAAGTTGCCTTATAGCAGGTCAAACAAACTATCTAGTTCAGTACAGTCTTCTCTGACTGGCAGTGGCTTTCTCAGTGATTGGCAGTGGGATCTCAGGCAAAGAAGGGATTAAAACAATCCGTGTCATGATAGCAATAAGATAGCTCCAATACTACTCACTGGAGGAATATGAGTAAGAGGTGGCTGTTCCCTTCATGTCCTTATTTTGGGCTTCTCTGAGATTGACCATTATGGGAAACGGGATGCTGGACTACATAGTCCTTTGGTTTGATCCAGCAGGGCTCTTCCTATGTGCCTATGTCTTTCAAACATAAGAGCCCTGCTGGATCGGACCAAAGCATCCTGTTCTCTAGTCCAGCATCCTGTTCTGACAACCAGGTATCTCAAAGGGAAGCAGGAAAATCCAGGAAGGGACAGCTCTTTTCACCTCTTTGTTCAGAACTTTTCCGTAATGTCTCTCCAAGAAGTGCAGATTACCTAAAACCCTCCAACTGGGTTGAAACTCAGTGTGTCTGTTAGTTAGACTATAATTACATTGGCTTTAATTCTGGTTCAGCCATTAATATCTGGCCAGTGAAAGAGCTGGACACGTTCTCCTGTTCTCCACCCATTCCACCACCCTCACCTCTGTAAATGTCGAATTATTTTACAGTTGATCATCTGCTGGATTCTCCGACCTTTAAAAGCTGAACACTCTGTGCCTGTTGAATTTTAATCAATTTATATATCTCTCTTTTCTCTTCCCCTCCCTCCCCCCTTGAATGGAAATGTCAGACTACTGGTATGGAATTACTCAGTGCCAGATAATGTGACAAAGACTCCAGAGTTCAGTGTCTGAAGTCATTCAGGAGCAGGGTGCAGCTTGCATTAACCGAGGTAATTTGTGAGATGTGAAAATTAGATGGCTCATGGGAGAACAAGCATATATTTTTCATTAGGTTTCATTTTGAAAGTTCTGGGACCCCATTCTTATTTCATCCAGAGACCTCTGGCCTCATTAAAATCTTGTCAGGGGTTGGTAATGACTGGAAAGTAGCAATGGTGGAGGCCATCAAAGTGTGTGGGGTAACCAAGATTGTTGAAGGAGCTTGGAGTGAAAGGCTGTGGTGTCCAGACAGTCAGATTTGAATGGACCACAATGGAAGGAGATTTGAATGGACCGCAATGGAAGGATGGCGAGCTATCAAACATAACAGGGATGCCACAACATCTGAAGGTCATCTTTAAAAACAAAACACCATACACACTTGCACTACAGCAATTGCTTTAAAAAAGAAAGATTTTGACCCATTATATTAAATGATTTTTTTAAGAAAAACAGGAGAGAGAGAAATTACTTTGTTTACAAGGCAGCTTTCCTTCTAAAAATTTGCTTCATTTGCATCTATAAATAAAGATATGAAAAATGCTAAGGGGAAAACGGGGGTCGATCAGTGGTAGAGTACCTGCTTTGCATGCACAAGGTCCCAGGTTCATTCCCCAGCATCTCTCACCCTGGGAGAGATCACAGTCTGAAACCCTGGAGAGCTGCTGCCAGTCGGTGTCGGTATTACTGGGCTAGGTGGACCATTGACTCTGTATAAGCCAGTACCCTATGTTCCTAACGCCCCTTGCAAAAGGCATATTCATGAGTAGACATTAATTGTGTCAGCATTTCCCTTTTTCTCTTTGCAGAGTATTGAGGGTATAAGGCTCAGAGATAATCTATTTTATCAGAGCCCAGAAAGGTCCACTCTTATTCAAGAAAGGGCAAACCAGTTATATCTGTTTAGCTGAAGATCCTGGCTTTTGGTACAAGGTACTAGCATGTGCCATTTGTAGCAACAACAAAAGAAAGTGCAGATAGACAGAGAAAGGCATCACAATCATCATTTTCATTGTTTATTGTCCCATTTTCTACACCACTGAGATATCTGAATACAGTAATTAAGCAGTATATAAATGACTTTTATATGCCTGTTGTCTTTGTCCATGGAGTTTTCTTGGCAGGGATACTAGAGTGGCTTGCCAGTTCCTGCTCCAAGGTGGATCACGTTTGGTCAAAACTCTCCACTATGACCTGTTCTTCTTGGGTGGCCCTGCACGGCATAGCTCATAGCTTCTCTGAGTTGTTCAAGCCCCTTCACCACGGCAAGGCAGTGATCCATGAAGGAGTTCCATGAAGATCAAACCTCTCCATTCTGAAGGAAATCAGCCCTGAGTGCTCACTGGAAGGACAAATCCTGAAGCTGAGGCTCCAATACTTTGGCCACCTCATGAGAAGAGAAGACTCCCTGGAAAAGACCCTGATGTTGGGAAAGATGGAGGGCACAAGGAGAAGGGGACGACAGAGGACGAGATGGTTGGACAGTGTTCTCGAAGTAGCCAACATGAGTTTGACCAAACTGCAGGAGGCAGCGGAAGACAGGAGTGCCTGGCGTGCTCTGGTACAAGGGGTTGCGAAGAGTCGGACACGACTAAACGACTAAACAACAGCAACATAAATGACTTAAATAATTAAGTAAGATCTTCATCAATAATAATAAGGAATTATATCCAGTGCTAGTCCTACTCAGATTAGGTCCATTGAAAATATCAGATATAACTATTAGAGTCATTAATTTCAGTGGGTGTACTCTGAGTAGGACTTAGTTGGAGACAACCCTAAGTTTCTAACATTCCCTTTCCACCCAAGGCAGGAAACAGCAAAGTAGCAATTAAGAAATGGAATAACCAAAAAGTTTCAAGTCTGTGAGCATTCAGAAAAGGATGCTGTGATTGCTAAGACCCAGCATGTGTTTTTTCAAAAATAAGTCATGCCAGACTAATCACATTTCTTCTTTTTTTTATGGCATTACAAACTTGGTGGATCAGGAGAATGCTGTGGACATAGCGTATATTGATTTCAGTAAGGCTTTTGAGAAAGTACCCCATGAAATTCTCACAAGGAAGCAGGTAAAATGTAGGCTGGATGAGGTAACTGTTAGGTGGATTTGTAGCTGGTTGACTGATCGAACCTAAAGAGTACTTATTAATGGTTCCTCGTCATGCGGGGGGAAAGTGACACGTGGGGTGCTGCAGGGTTCTGTCCTGGGCCCACTGTTGTTTAATGTCTTTATAAATGACTTTGATATAGGAATTGAGGGAATGCTCATCAAATTTGCAGATGACACCAAACTGGGAGGGGTAGCTAATGCCACTGTTCCCAGGAGTCCAGGTTCCCAGCTTGATAACACAGTACTCATACGTAATTTAAAAATAGGATTTTTGCAAAAACAAGCAATTAGCTCCGGACGGCTCTAGCCAAGCCTCTGGTATCAGCACTCAGTTGACTCTTCTAAAGAATCCTTCCTCTTCCAGAAGAATAAACGGAACCTATGACCCTTGTGTTTCTTATTCTGTTTCCTGTCATACACCCTCCCCCAGCAATGACTTCGTGGTCTCATTGGATCCCCTCCAACTTCTTCCTGAGAAGACAGACTGTCAATCTTCTCTTCCACGCCTGTTTGTGTCTCTTGCGAGCTGTGGCTGACTTCGAGCCAGATATATGGAGAAACGTGACTCAAAGAAGTAGGAGGCCCAGGGTTCGCTCTGATTGTTTAGAAATACACAATCGCTTTGAGGTCCTCTCCCCTAGCATGGAAGATGAAGAGCAGACTCCAGTTGAGGATCTCTCCCCCATTACAGTCGATCAGGTATATGAAGACGAGCAGCAAAGTCAGTCCTCAGGGAATGTGCAGGCGACCTTGGAACGGACAGCTCACGGAAGAACCCCGATCAAACCTAAGAGGAGGCATGTAGTGGTGATAGGGGATTCCCTACTGAGGGGAACAGAAGCAGTGATCTGTGGGCCTGACAAGATGTCTCGGGAAGTGTGCTGTCTCCCCGGGGCTAAGATACAAGATGTAACTGAACGACTGCAAGGAATCATAAAACCCACTGACAAATACCCCTTCCTCTTGGTTCATGTGGGAACCAATGACACTGCAAGCAATAGCCTCCAGAAGATCAAAAGAGACTACGAGGCTCCGGGCAGGAAATTGAAGCAATTAAATGCACAAATTGTCATCTCATCTGTCCTCCCAGTTGAATGAGGTGGCCCAGGGAGAGAGGGAAAAATAGTGGCAGTGAACAGCTGGCTTCGCAAATGGTGTAAACAGGAACGGTTTGGATTCTTAGATCACGGACTGCAGTTTCTTGAAGATGGACTTCTGGCAAGCGATGGGCTGCACCTCACAACGGTTGGGAGGAATGTTTTTGCCAAAAATCTCAGAAGCCTCATCAGGAGGGCTTTAAACTGACTAATGTGGGGGAGGGAGACAGTGCTCCTGAAGGTAGGAGTCTATCAATTGATGAAGATGATCATCCAAATGTCATAGACCAAATGGAGCAAACAGCACACAGACCTAGTGGTGGGAGGAAAAAATCCTTAAATAAGAGACACTGGGGAATGATTAATGGACTTCAATGTCTGTACACTAATGTGCAAAGCATGGGAAATAAACAAGATGAGCTTGAGCTCTTGGTACAGCAAACTAAATATGACATAATAGGCATCAATGAAACCTGGTGGGATAAGTCCCACGATCGGAATGTAATAATGGAGGGATACAATCTATTTCAGAGAAACAGACCAGACAAGAAATGAGGAGGAGTGGCGTTATATGTCAGGGATGTGTATACCTGTGAGGAGATCCAAGATTTAGAACCTCAAAGCCAAAGTGAGAGCATTTGGGTCAAAATTAAGGGAGAGAAGAATAACAGTGACCTCATTGTGGGAGTTTACTATAGATCCCCAAGCCAAACGGAGGACATAGATGATGCCTTCCTAGAACAGATGGCGAAGCATGCAAAAGGAAGGGAGATAGTAGTAATGGGGGACTTCAACTACCCGGATATTTGTTGGATGTCAAACTCAGCCAAGAGCATAAGGTCAAACAGATTCCTCACTGGCCTTGCAGACAACTTCATTGTCCAGAAAGTGGGATAAACAACAAGAGGAACAGCCATTTTAGATCTGGTCCTAACCAATGTTGATGACCTGGTTAGTGGGGTAGAAGTGGAAGGATCATTAGGCGCGAGTGATCATGCTCTTCTGAAGTTTACTATACAGCGGAAAGGAGCAGCCAAGCATACTAGGGCTCAATTTCTAGACTTTAAGAAAGCTGACTTCATTAAACTTAGGGAAGTGCTGGGTGAGATCCCATGGACAGTAATACTAAAAGGAAAGGGAGTTCATGATGGCTGGGAGTTTGTTAAGAGGGAGATAGTAAAAGCACAACTTCAGGCAATACCAATGAGACGGAAACATGGAAGGTGCCTAAAGAAGCCAGGGTGGCTATCTAAAGAACTTTTAACTGAGTTAAGATTAAAAAAGCATGTGTACAAAAAATGGAAAAGGGGGGAAACCACCAAAGAGGAATTCAAACAAATAGCAGGCACGTGTAGACACAAAGTCAGAAAAGCTAAAGCACAGAATGAACTCAGGCTTGCTAGAGAGGTTAAAAGCAACAAAAAAGGCTTTTATGGGTATGTTCATAGCAAAAGGAAGAACAAAGAAACAGTGGGGTCACTCAGAGGAGAAGATGGTGAAATGCAAACAGGGGACACAGAAAGGGCTGAACTCCTCAATGCCTTCTTTGCCTCAGTCTTCTCCGATAAAGAAAACAATGCCCGACCTGAAGAATTTGGAGCAAATGATTCAGCAGAGGAAACACAGCCCAGAATAACTAAGGAGATAGTACAAGAATACTTGGCTAGTTTAGATGTATTCAAGTCTCCAGGGCCAGATGAACTGCATCCAAGAGTATTAAAAGAACTGGCAGATGTGATCTCAGAACCACTGGCAGTCATCTTTGAGAATTCCTGGAGAACAGGCGAAGTCCCGGCAGACTGGAGGAGGGCAAATGTTGTCCCTATTTTCAAAAAGGGGGAAAGAGAGGACCCAAATAATTACCGCCCAGTCAGTCGGACATCAATACCAGGGAAGATTCTGGAGCAGATCATTAAGCAAACAGTCTGTGAGCACCTAGAAAGGAATGCTGTGATCACCAATAGTCAGCATGGATTTCTGAAAAATAAGTCATGCCAGACTAACCTGATCTCGTTTTTGACAGAATTACAAGCCTGGTAGATGAAGGGAACGCAGTGGATGTAGCCTACCTTGATTTCAGCAAGGCATTTGACAAGGTGCCCCATGATATTCTTGTAAAGAAGCTGGTAAAATGCGGTCTTGACTATGCTACCACTCAGTGGATTTGTAACTGGCTGACTGACCGAACCCAACGGGTGCTCATCAATGGTTCCTCTTCATCCTGGAGAAGAGTGACTAGTGGGGTGCCCCAGGGTTCTGTCTTGGGCCCGGTCTTATTCAACATCTTTATCAACGACTTGGATGATGGACTCAAGGGCATCCTGATCAAATTTGCAGATGACACCAAACTGGGAGGGGTGGCTAACACCCCAGAGGACAGGATCACACTTCAAAACGACCTTGACAGATTAGAGAACTGGGCCAAAACAAACAAGATGAATTTTAACAGGGAGAAATGTAAAGTATTGCACTTGGGCAAAAAAATGAGAGGCACAAATACAAGATGGGGACACCTGGCTTGAGAGCAGTACATGTGAAAAGGATCTAGGAGTCTTGGTTGACCACAAACTTGACATGAGCCAACAGTGTGATGCGGCAGCTAAAGCCAATGCAATTCTGGGCTGCATCAATAGTAGTATAGCATCTAGATCAAGGGAAGTAATAGTGCCACTGTATTCTGCTCTGGTCAGACCTCACCTGGAGTACTGTGTCCAGTTCTGGGCACCACAGTTCAAGAAGGACACTGACAAACTGGAACGTGTCCAGAGGAGGGCAACCACAATGGTCAAAGGCCTGGAAACGATGCCTTATGAGGAACGGCTAAGGGAGCTGGGCATGTTTAGCCTGGAGAAGAGGAGGTTAAGGGGTGATATGATAGCCATGTTCAAATATATAAAAGGATGTCACATAGAGGAGGGAGAAAGGTTGTTTTCTGCTGCTCCAGAGAAGCGGACACGGAGCAATGGATCCAAACTACAAGAAAGAAGATTCCACCTAAACATTAGGAAGAACTTCCTGACAGTAAGAGCTGTTCGACAGTGGAATTTGCTGCCAAGGAGTGTGGTGGAGTCTCCTTCTTTGGAGGTCTTTAAGCAGAGGCTTGACAACCATATGTCAGGAGTGCTCTGATGGTGTTTCCGCTTGGCAGGGGGTTGGACTCAATGGCCCTTGTGGTCTCTTCCAGCTCTATGATTCTATGATTCTATGATTCTATGATTCTATGATTCTATGATTCTATGATTCTATGATTCTATGACTCTCAAGGTGAAGAGGAGCGGGGTTCGGCATCTGCCTGCTGGCCTCTCTCTGAGAAAAATCTGACCCTGTCATTTGCAAACTGCAGTCTTCTACCGGCTGCATTCCTAAGCTGGGAGCTAGAGTATTCATGACATCACCCCCTCCCCTAGGATCCTCCTCATCCTGTTCCCCCTCTCTCTGAGGGTAGCTACCTAAGCCTTCCCACCACTCCTCACTCTCTTCCCATTCACTCCCAACTTGCTTGTCCTCCTCTCTTTCGAGCCCCCACTCTGCCTCACTTTCTTCATCTTCCACCAGCACCTTCTGTTCATCCCTCCACCCTCTTGGTTTGGGTTTGTTGGGGTACCTGTGGGGGAACTCCGTCTGTAACCTAGTGGCGTGCATGTTCCCAGAATCCTCCCATGACTTTTCCTCATCTCCGTAACCCTTCCAAGACACTAGATACTGCAGTCTCCTCCCCTTCCAGCGAGAGTCTGCAATTGTGACACCTCGTATTCTGGTTCCCCTTCTATCATTAGAAGAGGGGGGAGCCTCTTTTAGTGTTTGATACAGATGTGGCAGCATCATGGGAGACAACAGTGACCCATGAAATAAAGGATGTATCTTCATGGATGCAGGCAGTCGAAGCCTGAACGACACAGGGTTAATTTGCTCCACCATTTCAAATGGTTGCACCCTGTGAGGGCCCAACTTCCAGTACCTCACGTTTTTCAGCAAGTCCTTGGTAGACAATCACAACTTATCCCCCACCCTTATCTCCTTGCTTGGCTGTCTATGCTTATCCGCCTCACTCTTGCATTTGTCTTTAGCTCACTCCAGCTGCTCTTGAAGTAAGCTGTGCAGAGCTTCTAGTTCCTCTGCAAACTGTTCAGTGGCTGGCACTGCCAGGCTGTCTTCTTGCCCTGGGAAGATGCATGGGTGTCATCCCAGGCAGACAAAGAAGGGAGTCTGTTATGTAGATGAGTGTACTGCATTGTTGTGAACCCAATCATCTTGTTGATACATGTAGCATCACCGGTACTGTTGCAAGGTGGCATTTGTCCTTTCTGACTCCATTTGTCTGCGGGTGTCCAGCAGACGCGAGGCAAACTTCTACCTTCAGCAGTTGCATCAGTTTCCTCCAAAACTGGGAGGTAAATTGTGTTCCTCTATTAGAGATGACTCTCTGAGGCAATCCATGCAGTTTAAACACATGTTCCACAAAGAGCTGTGCCATCTCCTGCGCCGAGGGAAACTTCCTACAGGGCACAAAATGTGCCATCTTTGAGAACAGATTTACCACCACCCATATCACTGTCTGTTACTGCGACTCTAGTAGGTCAGTGATAAAGTCCACAGGGGGGTAGGGGGTAGGGAGCAGTTGGAGCAGCCCTGTTGGCGTGTCACAGAGCCCACCTTATCTGCCTCTGGTTATGGTATTGAGCCATCTGCCAGTGTTCGAGATTCTTGTGATCAGTGCACACTTCCACTTGGTGTTGCACCCCCTTTAGAAGGTGTCAGCATGTGCCCGGAGTGTCCCAGATAGCCAGCAATTCTTTTCCCCAAATGGTATAATTCTGCTCTGATGGATTCAGCTTTTGAGTGGAAGGCACATGGTCTCAGGTCCCCATTCTCACCCTCTTGCAACAGAACTGCCCCTAGTACCCTGTTGGACACGTCGGTCTCCACTGTCATAGGCCGGTGCGGATTGGGATGAGCTAAGTACTCTTCTGAGACAACATTGCCTTGAGTCTCTTGAACACCCTCTGGGCCTCTTCTGTCCAGATTGGATGGCCATCTGTCATGGATGCTTTAGTTGAGATTCCTGCATTGCAGGGGGTTAGAATAGATGCCTCTTGGGGGCCCTTCCAACTCTAAAATTCTATGATTCTGTGATTCCATGAAAACCTCTTGAACCAATGCCTAGAAGCATGGGACAAGTGGAAAACCGCCCAAGCGTGCTTTTTAGGCACAAGACATGTGGATGAGCCCTACATAAAGATTAGAGTTGAATGACAACTGAATGCAAAAATTCAGTTTGTTAAGCCTGCTGAGCAGTGTTAAAAGACCACTATTCCATACCCTCCAACATTCCTCAGTTGAACATAGGGACATCTCTCTCTCTCTCTCTCTCTCTCTCTCTCACACACACACACACACACACACACGCACGCACACACACACGACTGACTCTCCTTGATCCCCCACCAAAGAGCATTTCCTATCAGAATAAAGGCGAGTGGAAGAATGATGAAATCCCAACAAAAGAACAGTGGCAAGAAAAATTGATGAGCTATGCAGAGTTGGCTAAATTGACATACAAACTCTGGGACAAGGACAACTGTGACTTTAAGAAAGAATGGGAACTTTTTACAAATTAAAAGACAACAAAATGAACTGGACTGCTTGGCAGGTTTTGAATAAACATACACAAATTTATTGGTTGATAACATGATAGATAGACAAGGTAAGGATATGTATAATTTTATAACATGCAGAGAATAATATGTGCAGAGAAATCAGAGAGAGGAGCTGAGGGAAGTCCCTGGTGGGGGGGAGGGAGGGATGGAAGGGGGGGGGAGAAAAGGGGGGGAAATAATATATGTGGATATATGGTTTGATAATTTGTTATGTTGAAATTGCTTAATAAAAATACTTTAAAAAAGAATAAAGGTGAGTGCCAGCACCACTACATCAATGGGACACAGCGCATATGACCTCCACCGCCCTGAGAAAACCCCTTAATCCTTATTTTATTTTATTCTTTAGTAGATTTACCAAAACACACACACACACACACACACACACACACACACACCACCAATAAATAAATTTTGGAAAGGGGAAAATTTAGACACAGATGCACAAAGCATTTCTTTTTTAGAAAAATAAATCAAAATTCCTTCTGCTTCACTTTGCTCCCCCCCCCCCTTTTCTTCCCACCCAGGGCAGCCCTGCCCTCTGCCTGCACTTCAGAGCCGGTGCATCATGTGGGACTGGGCCTTTACAGCAGCAGTGTCTCCTCCTCGGCCACTACAGCAGCCACTAGGAGCAGC